TGTACTAAATGTGAAACAATTAGAATCATGCTACATTGTTTTAAATGTGAAACAATTAGAATCATGCACAGCTGGAAGGTAATTTCTAAAGGAGAATGTTTAAGATATATGAGTGGAAAGACCAGCAGATGGTATAATGGTTACATTGTTGGGCTGCCATATACTTGAAAAAGGCTTAAGTCCCAGACCTAATGGCTTAAAACTCATGCCAGATACATATGCATGCATGCCCAAAATCCCAATAGGAAAATGGAGAAGGGATTGCTGTGTGACCATCTTCTCTGAGGGAGTGATTTCTCAATTTCTCTCTCTAGGTATCCAGTAAGTACATGTGCCCTATAGAAAAAAAAAAATCTCAAAAAGAAAAAAAGAAGACTCCGCTATCTCCTTTGCTTCATGTTGTGTATACAATTGACTTATTCTGTCTCTTCTCACAAGACTTTCAGTCTCAAGTGATTGCTGGCCACCATCCCCCCCCCAAAACAAAACAAAACAAAACAAAACAACCCCAAAAACAAAATTGTTCTACTTCCCAGTGGATTCAGGTGAAAACTAATAATAAAATTAGTACAACTCTAACAAGAGACAGCTAAAAAAGTACCACTCTAACAGAAAAAAAACAAGCTAGATCTGTAAAACAGTACCCATAACACTCATATTTATGTTGTACTGAGGTCATTATCATCATATCTAGTTGAAAATGTCACCACTATCTAGACAATAGACATGTTTTACTGGTAAATAATTTTTCTCTCTTTCTATGTTTAGCACTAGTAGGTTGGGTCAGTAAAAATTATGTGAGACCTTTAGAAACCAACAAACAACTTAATAAAATAAGAATAAAGATATGGGTAAGAGGCAACGAAGTCTTTATGTGATGTATCTACACTCGTTTTTAGCACTGAAAACTGGGAGGTAGTCTAAAAACACAAAGGTCAATAAAATGGTTATTCTAAAGAATTAAAAGTAGAGAAAATAAGTGTTTTATAGGAAGTCTTTTGAAACTCTTGAGGTGCGTTACCATTCTTTATATAAAGTGGCAGGGTGTATCTTATAACATGTGAGTTGAAAATTGAAACTGTAACCTTTTGACTGCTGGGTTAGGATTCTGCACTGTGTTGCAGTGATAGTTTCTGAAAGAAAAAGGAGGCTTCAAAGACATACTCCAGTCTAATTTTTATTTCGGAGGTATTCTTTGTTTTCTGAAATGAATCCTAGCAAAAGAAAATGAGAAAACCAGGTGTAGGAAAATTTCGGGAAATTCAATACAGCATAAATATGAGTGTTATCTTATGTGCACTGTTTTCTAGATCTAGCTTGTTCTTTTTTTCTTTTTTTTTTAAGACCAGGTGTCAATTGATGGCTGAGTCATACTATAAGGAATCATGAAAGATTGTGATCTAGGGCCTATAAAGAAGGTAAAAAATCAGGTTAATACAATTAGGGTATACAGTCCTGCAGACTCATTGCAAGGATGATTTGAACATAAGGCATGTTGCCTTATGACTTCCTGATTAATCACTATGGGATACTACTCAGTCATAAAAAATGAGACTCTGGCATTTGATAGAAGGTAGATGAACATGGAAGATGTACTGCTAAGTGAAGCAAACTAGACTATGAAAGAGAGGCATTGTATGTCCCCACTCATTAGATACCAAATGTCTGCACTGTATGGAAGAAACAGAAATACTGGAAGGTATAAAAGCATGGAGGGCAGGGCCAGCAGATGGCATAGTGATTATGTCGTTGGACTCCCACATGGCTAAACGCAGTTTGAGTCCTGGACTCGGTGGCTTGAAAATCACGCTGGGCACATGTGCGTGTGCACCCAAAATCTTGGAAGAAGAATGGAGGAGAAGGGATTGCATTGTGGCCATCCCCTTGAGGGGTGATTTCTCACTTTCCTTCTCACTGTTTCTGTCTCTGTCTCTCTCTCTCTGGAAGTGCATGCACCCTAAGGCAAAATCCTCCTAAAAAAAAAAAAAAAATTGAGAGCAATTGTGGTGTGGGTACTAGAGACTGTGTGGAAGGAAGATCCAAAATGGGGAAGGGTGAGAGGGAAGAAATCAAGGGAAAAAGACAAAGTAAAACATTTAAGGGACACAAAAATGGAAAATCTTCTGTTGCTAATAATGTGCATAGTAATATTGATTGGACCAATATACAGTATATTCATGCTGGGAAAATTCATTTTGTATGTTCTAATGATATATAATGATTGAATGTAAAAATATAATAAAATATCTTTTGAAAAACAAAAAAAGAAAGGAGAGCGTCAAATCACAATTCATAAAATATGATTCATATTAAGAACCAACAGTTTCTTCCTATGGAAGAGGTCAACAGGGTCACTTATTTATTAGGACATCAGAAACTTTATGAAAAAATAAAGTCACTAAATATTTTGTATGGATTACTATTTGCAGGTGTTTTTGAAATTTTGGAGATTCAAAAGTGAACGTAAGAGACCCTATTTCTCAGGGTCTTACATTTTCAAGTAGTTTCAAGTTCTTCTGTTGTAAATTAGGAGTCATTTTACAATGCTAGTGGAATTATTAAAGAAGACATTTTCAAATTCAATATAATTTTAATCACTTTATTCTTGTGTTTGATTTTAAATTTCATAGTTCTGTAGTAGGTCAGCTTGAGGTGTAGCAGGGTGCAGTCAATTTGAAATTAAGAAAAACCTCTAATGAGAAAAATCTGACCAGATGCTGAGTCATGGGGAAGTCTCTTTGAGGAATGGGAAACCTGGAATAGGTACTGGAAGGAATCAAGGTAATTAGACAAGGGAACACAATTTACTTTGATTTTAACAAAGAATGATTTGCACACGTTTGTGTCTTGTATCTATAAATATTTAATGCATGTTGAGGTTTTTATTTATTTATTTATTTATTTTGAGACAGCTTGATGATACTTGCTGACTATCTCCCTGGAACTAGCTGCAGGAAAAACGTCCCTTCTTCTCCAGCCTCTGTATCTCATTTCATCGACCATGAGAAATAGCAGCCCAATTTAATTATCCCACTGATTATCAACACAGTCAAATAGCAGTATGGATTATTCTGGTAGTTATTTGACCTTAACCTTGGCTTCAGGGAAACTACTCATCTTTGTTAGCATAGAAAAATGAGAGACAGTGAAAGAAAGAAATGGTATGTTAATGTAAAATTAAAAAATTAAAATTAAAAAAATATATATCCTTATAAATGCAGGTAGCTTCTGCTATTTATTTCTACCCTATTTGTCCAGTTTTTTTCCATTTTTATTATACATTTATCTTTTAACAAATTATTTTCTTTACTTTATCATTATTGTTATTTTTAATTTGACCATAGCAAGACACACACACTGAGAGAGAGAGAGAGAGACAGAGAGAAAGAAAGTGAGCAAGCAAGTTGCCAGGTTCAGGACTTGAACCATGGTCAGCCATGTGGGAGTCCAACATCTTTAACCACCATGCTACCTGGTGGCCACTATATATTATGTACCTTTGAACTTCATATAATTAAAGTGATTTGGAAGCAAGCAAGGGAATAATTAAATAAAATATATCCTTCTCAAAGCTCAACTCTTCCACTTATCCTGAGGAGAAGTAAAAACCTAGGACAGATAAGTTAGCTGCCCAAATTCAGAGTTAAAGTTAAATCCAAGAAAAAGCTTAGTTAACATAACTCTCAGTCACCTGAACTGCCCCTTTTATCTGTCTGCCTCTCCTTTGGTTTTTGCTTCAAGATCTGAAGATTAAATCATCAGAATTTACGTTGGGCTTCATGTTGTTTGAATATACAATATTTTTTCCTCTCAAAGACATGTCTTGTAATAAAAAGCAGGCTTTGTATTTTAGCTATTACTGTTTTCAATGTACTTTCTGGACTTTAATATTCAATGTCTGAGTTCTAAAAATTCATCGTTTTGTCTTTTTTTTGAAGAGTTAATCCAATATTAAATGACATCTAGGTACCTGCTGGTTTTAGGACATTAACGCAAAATACATCATTAACGAAGTAGTTTGTCCTTAATGTCACTGAAATTAGGATTTAGACTTAGAAAAGATAATGAATTACTATCAAAACATGTAACACTTTTTAAAAAAATTTTTATTTATTTATTTATTTTTGAGAGGTTTTTGCTATAGGGCACATGCGCTTGCCAGATAGACAGAGAGAGACAGAGAGACGGAAAGCAAGAAATCACCCCCCAGTGGGGATGGTCATGCTGCAATCCCTTCTCCTCCATTCTCCTCTCAGGATCTTGGGCACGCACGCATATATGCCTGGCGTGAGTTTAAACCACCAGGTCCGGGACGTGAACCGCAGTTGACTACATGGGAGTCCAGCGATACAGCCATTACACTAACTGCTGGTCCCAAACACTTTTATTTTTGTACTACTAAAAGGATTCAAAATAATCTGGACTGAGCATATACATATTTTTCTTTTAATAAAATATTCTCAGGCACATTTTGGTATAGTACATTTGACTCTGGGCTTGTGAAAATCATCACAAAGACCAATGTATTTGCATACCCTATCCCAGAAGCCTTGGCAAAGCTAAACAATTTTCTGTGGCTGGTCAGTCTCATTTATCAAAAAGCTGCAGATAGTATAGCAGCTAAAGGGCAACCAGGGCTTTGCTTTTAGGTAACAATTAAGTTAATAATCGTTATTTGTAACCAGTAGAAAGAACGTTTCCTATAGTTTTTTCTTTCATGTCAATCAACCTCTTCAGCTAGTCATATTCTCTGAGGGATCAAAAGGGCATGTTCTTACTTTGGTTACCACTTGTGAGCCTTGTTAGTTGATTCTTATGACTTTGTAAATGTATATACTTAATTTATACTTAAATTAAATGAGATCTAGTGATCCAAAAAGGATTGATTGTGTTTCTCAAAGAACTCTGGAGAACTCATTGAAATCATCTAATGTAGTAATTGAAAGTCTCAAGATAGAGACAGTTATGGAGTATTGAATTAACAAAATGTTTTTGTTTGCAGTGTGCTGTACCATTAGTGACATGGTAGGAAGACTATTTATTTTAATAACTACTAGTGGTACCTCCACCAGAAAACTGGGATTGTCTCTGATATGTAAGGCGGATGACCATGGAGAAGGCTGGAGGTAGTCGCACTCAGAACTTCATACATGGGACTGGTTGACAAGGTTTGGTGCATATGCTGGTCCCAGAAAGGCAGATTCATTAAATAAAAGACAGGGCCTTTAAATAGAAGAAATAGAAGAAGTAGTTATTTTCTAACTGTCCTTGATGTTTAAGACCCAAAATAAATCTGAAAGAAATCACGTAGATAGTGAGAAGACTGTGAAAAAATTCTACTCACCATAAACACACACACACACACACACGCATACACACACACATGTGTGAGGCTTGTATAAAACAAAATATTTTCCAAGAAGATATATGATGGTTAGACACCAGCACGCTGTCACAGTGATAATGCGATGCTGAAGTAACATGAGTTTGTGTCCCAAGGTCTTCCTGTGCATGGTGTGAGTACACATCTGTGACCCTGGATGGCAGAGCTGGGATAGTATGGGGCATATAGATTCTGTTAGATGTCTTTTTCTCTTTTTCTCATAAAAGAAATAAGTAAACTTAATAAAATAAATGAGCAGAAAAAAATGAATAAATAATAATTATTAATGCCTTTTGAGAGAGATAATGAGATTAAAAACCTCCTAAATTTGATTAAAAAAAAACCCAAACTCTAGTTTACACATTCACTAAGTTCAGGAGATTTCAAATAGAATAAATACCAATAGATCAATACTCAGATACATCATAATCAAATTTTAAAAGCAAAAGTTACAACTCATTTTGCACAAGGGACTCTCAATAAGATTAACAGAAGTCTTCTCATCAGAGGTAACAAAAGCCAGAATGCAGTGTAAAAACACATTTAAGAGGAAGGAAGAATACAACAAGAAAGAGAACAAACCAAAAAACTATCAATCAAGAATCTTAAACTCGGGAACCAGCAGTTAGCGTAATGGCTATGTCGCTGGACTCCCACGTAGTCGACCGCGGTTCGCGTCCTGGACCCGGTTGCTTAAAACCCACGCTGGGCGCATGTGCGTGCGTGCCCAAGATCCCGAGAGAAGAATGGAGGAGAAGGGATTGTGGCGTGCCCATCCCCTCTGTGGGGTGACTTCTTGCTTTCTGTCTCTATGTCTCTATCTGTCTGTCTGGCGAGCGCATGCGCCCTATAGTGAAAAACCTCTTAAAAATAAAAAAAAAAAAAAGAATCTCAAACTCAACCAAACTGTATTTCCCAAGTAAAAATGAAATATAGACATTTTATATAAACAAAAACTAAGAAAACATTTTACTAGCAAACTTATCTCTTAACAAATACTAAAGGAAGTTATTCAGGTTGAAAGAAATTTATGGAATACAGTCTTTGTAATTTGTATTAAAAAAGGAATCACAGAGGTGGCCAGCAGGTGGCAAGGGAGTTAAGGAACTGGGCTTCCAGAGGGCCAGTCATGGTTTGAGTCCTGGTCTTGGTGGCTCGCTTTCTCATTTTCTCTCTGTCTCTCTCTGGTAAGCACGCCTACCAATTTAAACAAACAAATAAATAAGACAATTCTTCTTAAAAAATCACAGACTGCTGAAAAATTGGCATGAGGTAAATATAAAATAGTGAATAATTACCATACCCTCTCTTCTCATTGAATTGGAAAGGAATTGCATAATGGAATATATATTAATTTATATTATTGAATGTATAACACATAGAGATGTCATTTTTGACAATAAGAAAACTTGAGGAAGATTGAAATAAAGTTCTGATAAATCCAATTGATAATAGTGCCAAATAATAAGTTGAATTTTCCAGTAGACATGAAGAAAATACAAGATAGTAAATAAGAAGTTTAAAAAAGTATAAGTATATTTGCACTCTGCCATCTCCTCTCAGGTTTTTAAAAGACATAGAATACACAAAGCAATAATGAGCTATGGCATGATTGTTATAGGTTTGAAACTTACTAAGACACACTACCTATTACAATAAGGACGCATTAGGGAGAGGGAGAGAAGCTACATACGATTAATTTTTATACCTTCTTGTAATTGTTAGTACATATCTGAGGCAGATTATGACTGGATATATATTGCAAGTATTATATATTATGTAAAAGAAAATAACTTAAAATATACCCAGTGATCATTAAAATAATGTAAAGTAGCACTAGACCATATCAGTATAATATATAATATAATATAAGGTGGTATGTAAGGAACTGAGGAACAAAAGACAATGGAAGAAAAAATAGTAAATATTAATCCAAATATATCAATAATAACAAATTGGCATGTGTTAAGCAATTTAAATCAAAAAGTAGAGATTCTAAGACTAGGATATTTAAAAATTCAAGTGTATGCGATTGACAGTAGACACACTTCAGATTCCAAGATGCACATCTTTGAAATTAAAAGTGTGGAGATAGGGCTAGCAGGTGGCATGGAGGTTAGAGTACTGGGTCCCGCATGACCAGCTATGTGGTTCGAGTCCTGGAAATAGCCTGAAAATCATCCTGGGCATGAGTGCATGTGTGCCCAAAATACTTAGAGGAAACTGGAGAAGACGAGATTGCAGCATGGCTGTATCCTTTGGGGATGAGGGGAGGGATTCTCACTTCCTCTCTTTCTAGTGGGTACACATGCCCTGTAGTGAAAACTTAAAAAAAATAAAATAAAATAAAAGTATGGAAAGAGATACATAGCACAACACAAAAAGGAATTCGATTATTATATTAACATGTATTATATTGACAACCTTATGTTCAAGTACATTTAATTGTAATAAAAGGATCACCCCATTAGGAAGATATCATAATTAAAACTTGTATGTGCCTAACAGGACCCTAAATAGTCAAGAACCAAAAACTGACAGAATTGAAGGGAGAAGTACAATTTCGGGGTATACTCAAACAGATGAAATGAATATAAACTTATAGGACATGAAACATTATTACAGTTAGTTTAAAAGGACTAAAAGCACTATTCAAACATTTACAAATAGGGTTTGTTTCATATCATTATTCAAATGTTCTTGAAACTAATTACTGAAGAAAATGTTTTGTAACATTTAAGTGTGCAAAATTTGAACCTATGCACATTTAGCTGGAATGTTAGAAATAGTTTATAGTTCTTAATTTTGTGTTAATGGAGGTTGTCCACTAAAATAGACTTCTGTACTCAACATCATTATTATTATTTTTAATGCAAGAGGGCACAAGCACACACACAGCAGATTGGGGGAGAGAGAGAAAGCATTCCTTAATGGGGTCAAGCCATACCTCAATCATCTTTTCTTCAGTTCATCAGCCCATCCGAATCCTGGGAATGCACATATTACTAGCATGTTTTTCAAGCTACCAGAGCTGAGCCAGCTCTTGTTGAGAATGTGCCATGTAACTTCCTCAGTACAGAGCTTGACTGCTATGCTACAAAGCTGGCCATTTAAAAGTCTGACCTGAGAGTGAAAGTATTCATTTTTTTTCTCTTTTGAATTTAATTATAGCTGTTATTAGAATTAAAAGCAAGGTAGGGATCAGCAGATGGTGTAATGGTTATGTCACTGGACTCCCACATAGTTGAACACCTTTTGAGTCCCAGACCCAGAGACTTAAAACCCACACTAGGCTCGTTCGTGTGTGTGTGTGTATGTGTGCGTGCCCTAGATCCCAAGAGGAGAATGGAGAAGAAGGGATTGTGGGGTGGCTATCCCTATGGGAGGTGATTTCTTGCTTTCTGTCTCCCTGGTGAGCGAACATACCCTGGAGCAAAAATCTCTCTTAAAAATAAAAAAAACCAAAGAATTAAAAGCTATCTATAAATTTATAGAAAAAAATATACTTAACAATAGGTGATAAACAAAAAAGACAAAGTAAAGCAGAAGCCAAAATTTCTGGAATCAACACAATAGCAGAAATGACATTGACTCTCATAATAAAAATAAAAGTTAATTGTCATATTAAAAGACCACAACTTTTAAATTGGGTGAAAACATACTGAGGGCAGCTATGTGCTTTCTTTGAAAGAAATGAAAAACAAGCAAACATGGATTAAATGCATGAAGGAAACCTATATGTGTGTCTTTCTGTATATCTACATTTATGTCAATGAGCTACCAAGCTACACATTTCAGACTAATAAAGATAAAAAAGTAACATGAGCGTAAGTATGAGGACTACAATAAGTACGTAGCCCAGATGAACACATTTTAGGCAATCCCATACATGTTCACCAAAGTCTTACAATCCTCAGGGAGGTTTTAAAGCCAAACATGATTAACAGGAAGAGAGAAAAGGGAGGGTATTTTAGTTGTTTTAGGGTACTTGCCAGATTTAGTAGCAAGGGTGGCATCGGTCTAGGTTGAACTGGGTAGTCTTTGGGCAGATGTCCTTGCTGAAGGAGTCCTGGTGTCAGGTTGCAGTTGTCTCAGCACAAAGTTGACCTTTCTAATAGTAGTTCTTGTTATTGGGCACACCATCATGCGAAAACACATGGGAACCAGCAGTTGGCATAATGACTTTGTCGCTGGACTTCCAGGTAATTGACTGTGGTTCGAGTCCCATACCTGGTGGCTTAAAATCATACCAGGTGCGTATACATGTGTACCCAAGATCCTAACTGGAGAATGGATTGTGGCGTGGCCATCCCTCTGGGGGGCGATTTCTTGCTTTTTGGCTTTTTGTCTCTCTGTCTCTCTCTGTCTTTCTGGTAAGCAAACATGCCGTGTAGAAAATACTTTCTCCTTGGCCTTCCTGGCTGGGTTTAGTTTGACATAAGTTGAAATGAATGATCCATTCTTAATAACTTTTGCAATTCTAATGTTTTGAAATACATCATAAATGAGAGAAAGAGCAGATTTTATGCCATCCTTCGTTCATTGAATCACAGACTCGAAGATATTGCTAGCTCATGGTTTGTTCAACAGCTTGAAGACATATATTGAAATGTCATAAAATCGTTAGAAAATTTAGGAAGAAAGTATCTTTTTTTTTTTTTTTTTAGAGATTTTTGCTATAGGGCATGTGTGCTTGCATGAGAGACAGGGAAACAGAAGGTGAGAAATCTACACCCCAAGCCCCCAAGGGGATGCCATGCCATAATCTCTTCTCCTCCATTCTCCTCTTGGCATCTGGGCACACACACGCATGCACCCAGCGTGAGTTTAAGCCACCAGT